TTTTTTCTGATACCTTTGCTGTTTTCTTCCTATACTTTGGAACTCTTTAGACATACAGTTTTGTTCATTTGACCTTCAGTGCCTCGGATGAGTACACAATGGTCTAATCGCGCAGTAAAAAATGTTTACTTGATTCGGCTCTCTGTATCATCTTACCTAATCCTCATTAAGTGATCGCCTCATTCGTATTTCTAGCGATTGCGTAGTGGTTGAATAATGGACATGATTCATAGAAATCTGTATTTAGTTTTATGTTTAGGACACATCACCAAAAACTGCCTTATTCTTCTTTTGGTTGTTAGGATATGTACTAGGCAGCAATCACGGACATTTCCAGTGTTATGGTCTCTTACGTCTCTGTTAAAGTTTGAGCAATGAAAATAACTAGAATATATAGGGTCCTATTGCTCATCATATAAAGTGGGCGTTTTATGCTATTTCAGTGAAGGGTTGTATGAATTGTATTACACCCAGTGTTATACCATGCAGCTTTGTATACATATAGGGATTTTTCTTTTCCAGACTAGCTATGCAATAACTGAACACGACGAAATGGAAGTCTATTTTTACGAAGAGGCATATCTATTTGCGTGTAAATATTTCCTTTGTTTATAGATTGCCCTAGATTCATTGCTTTTTAGTTCGAATCACTGTTTTGACAATTAACTATTCTCTTCTTTTTGTTATCATAGTTTGTCTATCGGCTTGTAAACAAACACACAAAAAAACAGTCATTATGGTAATATACTTTTGCAGACTTGTAGCGTCGTCATATCCAAACCTAAGATTTGTTAACGTAAGACCTGCACTTTCACTCCTTTTTTAAATATGAATGGTTTCAACAGAAAAATTCAAAGCAGCCATAATGGTAGAACGTCCTCAGGTAGTCGACTTTAGGCCACATGGCTAGTTTCTCACTTTTCTGAATTATGTTATGTTTCGGTCTATTCATCATGCATCTATTTTTAAGTAGAGCCGAATATCCTTATCATATATTAATTTATTTTTAAAGGATGACATTATCAAGCTATCGATACTCATGAACAATCATTGCCATCTTCACAATAACATGTTTTAAGCTTACGTCTATCATGTTATGAGAAAGAATCTGTGATCAAGTAAGTGATCTGTTATATTGTCTACGTGATAAATTCCAGTAAATATTAGATGCGCAGCTGTACACATGTAACATGTACTAACGTCTCTTTGAGAGTTAAGGGACTTTAGGAACCGGAGTGTATGCATGGAGAACCCCTTAAACAATAATTAAACTTTATCATAAAATGCAGCAATAACATGTAGTAACAGAATATTCTACCCACCCTGACACGGTGTTATAATAAGTAACTATTTTTTTAAAAACAACCAATAGTTAATAATAAACGAACATTATCCTCCGACAACTTACACTAAGTATTATATGTGAATTAACGACAATACACCCACTTTATACCGAGCAATCACCTTTGTCCATTCTTTGTGAATAACATGTGGATATTTTATAAAACGGGATGGCTTACATTGATTTTGAAGTTGATAAATGACATAATTATAATGAACCCTCACTTACTCGAACTCGCATTACTTGAATACCACATGTTTTTCGAACAGTTAGCTTGGTCCCGACCATGCTTTTACATTTGTGTATATACTCTTCGTAAATTAACCTCGGATTACTCGAACTGCCTATGCTCGAATATCCCGTGTTTCCCGAACTCTGATTTATCCCCGACCACTCTAAAACCTTCGTATTTAACCTATTTATTCGTCGAACAGTTAGTTACACCTATGTATCACACCTGTACTGCATGAATTTACATTCTTTGATGCAAAGACGGCAGTCTACGCTCATTGTGTTTAATTAGGGGATTAACGGCAGTATCATGAAGTATCTGTACCGGTACTTTAGTATTTCCCGACGATGTTTTGACATTGATGTTGTAGCAGAATTGTTCATTCACTGGGTTTGTAAAAACAATAGTTCTGTATAGCAATATTTAGCGGAAATCGCATAGATCTATTAAGAAATTCAAACTTGAATACGTCGGGATTGCTAATTTAGTTATCAATCATTATAACAATTACAGGGGTTCAAGATTATCATCATTTTGTCAATAATCGAAGGGTTCCTCTCGTTTGGATATTTTGTTAAATGGTGTCAGCTTTATTAAACTTCCTTTTTACTTCTATCATCTACTGTCCGCGATATTGCACTGTCTGTCTGCCGTCAAATCATGACGATGTCGGACGAACCTAGGATTTGTCATTTGTATACGTTTATACTAGTATTATGTTATCTATGCTTCATGTTTTGTTTAATCCATAGCCTGTTAAAACATAGGGAATGACGTCAAGCCGATTTTTTTGCTTTCAATGTGGGAGAAATAAGATATTCAATTTATGGTTATCGAATATACTTTACAATCATATCTAAGTATTACTTAATTGGTTTAAGTCACAAACTCATTCCATTCCTCTGTATATAGTACGGGTATCTTGCTATTAGGAGAACTTTACCTTTTGATCAAACAAAGAGAAACAAAACAAACACTTACCTTGACAAATCAAGTTTCTCAGTGTCACTATGATCTGTTGCAGACCCTGGAAATCTGATACGGTAAATAGTTTTCGATCGTTGGTTGCGATTTGACTAAGTTCCTCTCGAAACAACTGAGATCCTACACCAACAGCGATCACAGTGATGCCTTCCTTCTTAGCCAGACTTGCTTGGGCAACCGTCCTCTTAGGAGACGAGGATTTACCATCAGTAACAATGATCATCACTTTTGGAGCGTTTGCACGACCTTGACTTGCAAGCATTTGACGCATGCGCTGTATGCCTAATGCGGTATTTGTGCCGACCTTTGGTTGCTTGAGGTTGTTTGACAAAATCATGAGCAGTTCTTTCGGCTTAAATGGTGTTAGGCCAACCGTCTCGCCAATGATTGTACTGAAGACGACAACACCGACGTGAATCGTATCCCGGCCGACAGCAAGGTTATTGATCAGACTAGCGATGAAATATTTTTGCTTCGTCCAGTCAGCGTCAGCAATACTGTCCGACCCGTCAAGAAGAATGCCAACATCAGCAGGTACATTACAAAACAAGTCTGTGAATCAAAATGACAAAAATGGAGATAGCAATAAAACAAAACTAGAACCATTTTTCCTGAAGCTGAAGATGAATGTTCAACTCAATCTTAGATATGAAATAAACGATCATCTAAAAATAACTATTAGATAAAGATAAACTATATATATATATGTAACTGTAACAGCACAATGTATGAGAGTTCATCTTTTGTGGTATTTTTGTTCTATTTCTAAGAGACGTGTACGCTTGCATAAAACATTTTCTGAAGATAGCTTTAAGGTTCCTTAATCAACAATCAAATATACTCTTACCATCAGGTGGAGGAATGTATGTCGGTTTCTGTGTTGTCGTGGTCGTAGAGGTGGTGGTGGTGATGGCTGGAAACATAAAGACAGAAACACATTATACGTTTTGTGACAACACATCCATATTTTTCCCTAACAACATTTTCAATACTCCTCCATTAGGAAGCATCGGAAACAAGCATAAACTTATTTCAGATCATCACATTACTGTTCCAATTACATATAGACATACATAGATATATTCCTGTCTACTGAGGAATGATATAGAAAGCAGTAAAGGATATCACCATTAAACAGTAATCTGACAGAGACTTAGTTATGTTACAAGACTGACGTGGATAGGAATGGAACAGCTTTCTTTAATACTTTATATTAACATGTATTCAACATAAGTTAAGTTTAATACTTTATATCAACATGTATCTGATATAAGTTAAGTTAAACACTTTATATAAACATGCATTAGACATAAGTTAAGTTTAATACTATATAACAACATGTATCTG